TTGAATAGTTACTCAAAAAAAGAGATTAACTTTTAGAGTAGCGAAGATAACTTGAGCAAGTTTTATTATTTTTATATTATTTTATTAATAACAACATTTTTCTAGTTTTTGGAATTTAATTTATATATTTATTAAAATATTTTTAATATAATTATTTATATATATTTTTAAATAATTATCATCACATCAGATTGAATAGTTACTCAAAAAAAGAGATTAACTTTTAGAGTAGCGAAGATAACTTGAGCAAGTTTTATTATTTTTATATTATTTTATTAATAACAACTTAGTAATTTTAATGCCAAACTAGACGTTTAACATGTAGACCAGCCTCTCCATTGCCTATTTTCGAGAAAAACATGTAGACCAGCCTCTATAACACGCAATTCTTTTTTAAAAAATCAAAGGACTTTTACCACGATTACGCCTTTTCCGAGTAATTTTGAAATGCACTTTTCATACTCCTAGATGACCGTCTTTGACTGCAAGTTATACTCTGAATAATAATATGCCGACAAATTTTTTTTTTTTTAAATTCAGTTTATTATCCACCTCCACCCACCGTGCATGAATATGAAAGCCTGCGTTCGGACCCACCACTCCCTATCTCGCCTTCAAAAATCCAACCGTGCCTGCTCCGGCGATGAGCAAATCCCCAACATTTCCAGAACAATTCACTTCCGTCCAGACCCAAACCAAAAACACGACAGAAACATGTTCCTCTTTCTTCTACTTCTAGTTCTGTCTCCGCCACCTTTGGCCTTTTCCCTGAACCAAGAGGGCCTGTATCTTCAAAGGGTTAAGCAGGGTCTTGCAGACCCGAGCGGCGCTCTCGCCAACTGGAACGAGAGAGACGAGACCCCTTGTAAGTGGTATGGGATTCGCTGTGATTCGGTCACCGGTCAAGTCAGCTCCGTCAACCTGTCAAATTCGCAGCTTTCTGGACCTTTCCCGGCCGTGTTTTGCCGCCTCCCTTCTCTCTCCAACCTCTCCCTTGCCATCAATTTGATAAATTCTTCCCTCACAGTCGATTTCTCTGGGTGTCAGAACCTCACGCAGCTCGATCTGTCCGACAATCTCCTGGTGGGTCCCATTCCGGGGTCTCTCGCCAAGATCCCCACGCTGAAGCATCTCGACCTCACTGGGAATAACTTCACGGGCGACATTCCCGCTAGTTTTGGGCGGTTCCGGCAGCTCGAGAAGTTGTATTTGCAGGGAAATCTCCTGAACGGAACCGTGCCGGGTTCCCTGGGGAACATTTTCACTCTCAGAGAACTCGGTCTAGCTTATAACCCCTTTGCGCCGAGTCAGATACCGAGTGAATTTGGTAACTTGACAAATCTCAAAATGCTCTGGCTCTCCCACTGCAACCTTGTGGGCCGGATTCCGGGCAGTTTAGGACGGTTGAGCCAGCTGCAAAACCTTGACTTGTCTTTGAATGGACTCACCGGGTCCATCCCGAGTTCGATCGGCGAGTTGAAGAGCATTATGCAAATTGAGTTGTATAACAACTTCCTCTCTGGGGAGTTGCCAACTGGAATGGGCAATTTGACGACTTTGCGACGGTTCGACGCTTCGATGAACAATTTATCGGGGACGATTCCGAGCGAGTTGTGTGGATTGCAACTCGAGTCCTTGAATCTGTACGATAATGGGCTCGAAGGGCCTTTACCGGAGAGCATTGCTAGTTCAAAACTACTGCACGAACTCAAATTGTTTAACAACAAACTCAGTGGGTCTTTGCCGAGTCAACTTGGTGAAAACTCGCCATTGCAGCTCCTGGATTTATCTTCTAATCAATTTTCTGGTATAATTCCTGAGAATTTGTGTGCAAAGGGAAAGTTAGAGGATCTTGTTCTGATGAACAATTCATTTTCCGGTGAAATTCCGGTGAATCTGGGGAAATGCAAAACCCTTCTCCGGGTCAGACTGAAGCACAACAGGTTAACAGGTAGAGTCCCAGACAACTTCTGGGGGCTGCGCAGAGTATATTTGCTTGAGCTCGATGAGAATTTGCTTAGTGGGCAGGTTTCCCCGAGCATTTCTAACGCTCATAATCTGTCAATACTGTTGATTTCTGGGAATCAGTTTTCCGGGCCAATACCAGATGAGATTGGATTGCTGGGCAATCTGGTGGTGTTCTCTGGGAGTGGTAACAGTTTCACAGGTCGGATTCCGGCTTCCATGATAAAATTGAGTCAGTTGGATAGACTTGATCTTAGTAAAAATGAGCTCACTGGGTGTATTCCTGAAGGAATTAGTAAGTGGGTAAATTTGAATGAGCTAAATTTGGCTAACAATAGGTTATCTGGTAGAATTCCCAGTGAAATAGGTAGCTTGCCTGTACTTAATTATCTTGATCTTTCTAGGAATTCATTTTCTGGGAAAGTGCCTATTGAGTTGCAGAATTTGAAGCTCAATTTGCTTAATTTGTCGAATAACCAGCTTTCTGGAGAGCTCCCTCCTCTTTATGCTAACGAAATATACAGCAAGAGCTTCCTGGGCAACCCGGGATTGTGTGGTGATATAGCTGGTCTTTGTCCAGATACTGGTAGATCTAAGAACCGACAGTATCTGTGGATTCTTAGATCAATTTTTATACTTGCTGGTGTGGTTTTTGTTGTGGGGGTTGTTTGGTTTGGCATGAAGTATAGGAGTTTTAAAAAGGGTAAAGGGGTTGCCATATCAAAGTGGAAATCATTTCATAAGCTCGGTTTTAGTGAATTTGAGATCACTGATTGCCTGAAGGAAGAGAATCTGATAGGAACTGGAGCGTCTGGGAAAGTTTACAAAGTTGTGCTTAGTAATGGTGATGCAGTGGCAGTGAAGAAATTCTTTGGAGTGCCAAAGAAAGTGGATTCTTCGACCGTCAGTTCAGAGAGAGATGAGTTTGAAGTTGAAGTTGAAACACTGGGAAAGATAAGACACAAAAATATTGTAAGATTGTGGTGTTGTTGCAATACTGGAGATTGCAAGCTTCTTGTATATGAATACATGCCCAATGGGAGCTTGGGGGATTTATTGCATGGTCGCAAGGGTGGCTTGTTGGATTGGCCTACCAGGTATAAGATTGCTTTGGACGCAGCCGAGGGGTTATCATATTTGCATCATGACTGTGTTCCTCCAATTGTTCATCGGGATGTGAAATCAAACAATATATTGTTGGATGGAGAATTTGGTGCTAGAATAGCAGATTTTGGAGTTGCTAAGATTGTTGAAGGAATTGGTAGAGGAGCGGAATCCATGTCTGTAATTGCAGGTTCTTGTGGCTATATTGCTCCAGGTTCGTTACTTCTCATTGCTTATATCTATTTAGATTGCTATCCTATTCCTAATTCAATTCTTCTGCTCCCTTTCCTATTTTGAGATTGCGTAATGTTTTATTCATGCATGGCCTCAGCAATTGGTAGCTGAGATTTACCACTCATAAAAACTATAATTTCATTTATAGATCAGTAATTGGATTAGCGGACTGATTTGAGTCTTGGAAGACATTATCAACTAAGTAATATTTTTTTATTTTCCTGCAACATTTATTATATCGTTACTTGGTATGAAACGTGTTCATTTTGAGTCTTAATTTTGATGCAGAATATGCCTATACACTGAGAGTGAATGAGAAGAGTGACATCTACAGCTTTGGAGTAGTCCTTTTAGAGCTGGTTACTGGTAGACCCCCAAATGATCCAGAGTTTGGGGAGAAAGACTTGGTAAAATGGATCTGCACTACCATGGATCAAAAAGGTGTTGAGCAAGTGATTGATCCAAAACTCAGCTCCAGCTGCAAGGAAGAAATCTGCAGATTCCTTGACATCGGTCTCCTCTGCACCAATGCACTTCCCATCAATCGCCCTTCCATGCGAAAAGTGGTAAAATTGTTGCAGGAGGCTGGTGGTGAAAACAAGTCCAAAATAGGTAAGGATGGAAAGCTCTCCCCGTATTACCTTGAAGATGCAAGTGATCACGGTAGTCTAGTTTAATAATTTTGTTGAAAGTAAAGATTTCCACTGCGTTTTAACTTCTCAAGGTATTAGATTCCATCTGAAGAGAGAAGTATACTAGGGTTGGTTAAGACATGATGAGTGATAGGTAACTGTTAGCTTCCACGATTATTTTTCGGTATTTTTGTCTAGAATTAGATAATAGTGACATGCAAACATAAGACTAGTCAAGGATGAAAAATCATCCGCCTTCATGAGCAACAGCTGTGTATAATTGAAAAATAGATTGAGTCTTTGAAAAAGATCCTAAGCTTGAGTCGCTCATTTTGAATCTTCCTGTGTGTCAAAGCATGCATTTAGTTCACTGGAATTTTCTACCTGTATTGCAGCAAACCTTCATTTACTGAATTGGGCCCTCTGCCCCTCTACTGTAGCAACGTTTTTGTAAGCATCATAACGTGACAGGTTCCACTCCTAAATTTGACTAGAAATTTTGACTAAATACCAGTGAAAGCGCCATTCTGATTTTTTAAGGGTATCAAATGATATCAAATCTGCTCTGGTCCTTCTGGATGTGACTGGTTTTGGAGTTTAGATAATTGTAACTATCCGTGTGGAGTCCCGCACTC